GAGGACCCGCCGGTATTTTGTGGTGTATGATGGTGGTGTTTTCCTCCCCATCATTCCCACGATTAGCTAGGGAAGGGTTAGGTCCATCCACACAGAGCTCCGCATGTGTGGGTAAGGCTGATACAATGAGGTGCGCCTGTTGCCTCAAGGTTCTCTCATGGTTACTACTTATTGTTATCTGTAGTATTATGTCGTTGACGTAGACTTCACTCTCTATTTGTTGTTTGTACTTTTGGTCTATCAGTATCCCCACTCCTGAGCGTACTCTCCGTTCTCATGGTACGTGGTATATCAAGATGTATTTGTCGATTTTACATTTTCCGGTTCCTCCCGCATTTTCCGGTTTCGCTGATAGCGTATATAGAAATACATTTTATTGCCTTTTAGTTCCTCTATGATCTACTCATCCATTGCAGTTCAGGGCATGATGTTCCAGGTGGCTACCTGGGTTTATTTCGTTTTCAAATCTTTGTCCGTTATCTTGCCTTTGTCGCGATCTGTTCATCAATCAAGTTCCGAGGCTGGCTTGTGGTTCTGTGAGCTGTATTGCTTTTTTACCATAGTTAAGGTGCTAACCTGACCTGTGAACCCACCACACTTTATACGGGCTTGGGACCGGCAGTAGCAGTTAGGCTACAGACGGTGTTCATTGATTGTTAACTCATGTAAAAGGTTTAGTTTGGTTCATATATTTACCTAATAAATAGTAAGACGAGAGGGTTTGGCTCAAGCAAATTGTCGCCCAGAAGAATAGCTCTACTTTTGGCATGAGCGTTTCAATTGCAAGTAACGTACACAGTGGTCTCTTACGCTTGATAAATGCGCTACTTAACCGTTTTCATTTTTTAGCATCATTACCAGCGCAACATTTAAATAACGCTTTTTTGTGGCAACCGACATTCTAATTTGACTATTAAGATAGTCACCAATTCTGGCAGCTAAATTTTAACTAGCCTGAAAAAGTAAATACAGACGAAACTTTTTTTATTCTTCACATTTAATTATAACTACAATAACATTTGTTGCGGTCGCGTGTTTGAAATTCAGAACAACATTCTAAACGTATAACGCGAATATCCAGGAAAATACCGTGGTGACAATGAAATTATTTAGTGATATTGTCGCTGAAGGTCTTATTCGCCGATAAAAGCAATAAAACGTTTTCCTATTCAAAACTCCATACTGTATTAAATTATTCATTAAGCACATCAAGTGGTATCAATTCATTTCAATTCGTCATCTAAAAAAGATCAAGATCGATGACCCAGGAACAAGGTAATTGATTTATTGCCTTATAATACATTCCTAATATGTATTTTATTGC